CTATTTAGTGTAGGAATTATGATCTTTGGTACTGTCTGCCATCAGAAAACCCATTTTAATAAACAAATAAAAACCTCAATTACTTGCAATGTTCAGAATCCAGGGAGATTCAGAATCTAAAAGGAGAGCTGTAGACAACATGTCAGAGAGCTCTGAACATGCTTGGCAAAGGATTGTAGCACCTCAGACAAATTTAGGAATTAAATTGCCCTTAAATAACCCAAAATCTTACTGCTCATCCCTAATCTAGGAGCATAATTAATCATTAAATAACATTTATGCAGGAATAGGAAACTGCTTTCACACATTCCCATAGTCACTGCTGATGAAGTGAAGATCTTCAAGTGAAGCTGCTGCCCCCAGGACAAGGTGTGCCAGCCTAACCCAGAGGAATTAATGAGCTCCAGCAGGGCCCATTTCAGCCCCATTCCCCTCTAATTGCCCAGGACAGGGCTGGGCTCCCTCCTGCTGCTCCCCAGAGCTGAGGCTCCTGCCCTGCCTCATCCCAGCCACTATAAAAAGGCAGGAGGGGCTGATGGAGCATGGTGGGTGCTTGGTTCTTCCTTGCTGCTGGTCTGTTCACCTCTAACAGGTTAAAAAAAAAGGTACTGTTCTGGAATATTCACGTGTTGGGGTGTTATAGCAGCCCCCTGAGCTGTGTTTTCTCCCAGTTCTGCTGTTGTTGTTTCTTTTATTCAAGAATTTCTTAAAGCCTTGGTAGGAAGGTGATTCTTTTTCTGTGTTTCTAAAAACAGAGGCTGGGCAAAATTAAGAGACTGAAAAAGCAATTCTATATATTTAAGGGCATCCAGGTGCATTTCTGGTGGACAAAGCCTCTCAGGGGCTGCACCCAAAATGGACCAGGGGTCACAGGGTTTCACACTTTTATAAGTTTGGTTCATTTGCACATTGGGGGTTAATATTCCAATTCCAGCTTCAGGTAATGAAGTCATTTACCCCGAGTTTGCTGCCCCTGACTCACTTTTGTTTCCACCTCTGGGGGCCTGAGGCAGTGAGGTGTCCTTGATTGCCAGGCCTGGAGAGGAATTGTTGTGTCTGCCCAAACTGGGAAAGCAGCAGCTCCCAGTGTGTGTGGAGTTTAGAGTTATACACTGAGAACTGCAGGGTTACAAATAGATGGAAAATATAACAGCTAAAATGCTAAGGAGTCAGAGGAAGGAAGTACCCTGTGCTTCTCCTAAACATATTAATAATGTTTGGCCTCTAGGGTGAGGAAAGAATGTTCTCCTTGTTCCTTTGATTATCACAAACCACCTGGAATTTAAACTTGAAACCAGGAAGATTTGCAAGAGGCACAGAGCCCTTCCTATGAGGCCATTTTGGGATTTCCCCTGAACAGGCACTAAAGGAACTTCTCTCTTTTATGACTTCAGAGTGTCCCTTTGGAAGGGGAGCTCTTTCCTAAAGCCTCGGTGTTCTTTGCATTCCAGCTGCCATGGCCTCTGCTGTGCCCGACAAGGAGGAGGTGGCCCAGAGCTCCCCGGAGGAGGAGGAGGAGGAGGTTGGTGCTCCCTGTGGGATGTGAGGAGTGGCAGCTCCTGGCTGCAGGGTGAGGAGGTCCTGCTGTGGCTGAGGGGAGCTGAGCCCCAAAAATGGGAGTTTCCTCTGCTCAGGCTGTGCCCTGCAGCTTCTGGGTGACAACCCAGACAAAGATGTGGACCTAAAGTCCCTGTAGCCTCTTAGACTCAGCAAAATTCCCTGGTTCTTGGCTAGGAAAGTCTCTAACTCAAGGCCCTGGCTCCTGGCAAGCAGTGCTCCCAGGGAAAGACTCCAATGTCTCAGCCTCCCTGAGACCTGCTGCTCTTGCTCTGCTCTGGGACCAGCAGCATCCTTGCAGGCAAGGGTGACGTCTGTCAGCTTAAAACCAGCTCAGTCCTGGCTGGTGGAGCTTTTCTTGTCATGTTGGCTTGTCAGAGAACCATTCCAGATGAAGTGGAGATGGGCATGTGGCAGAAGAGCTGAGGTTGCCCCCAAACTTGGTTGCTCTTTGTGCTAGAGGAACATTTTCCTGGGGTGGACCATCATTAATGGCAAAGCTCCCCAGCTTGTGTCACAGCTGAGTTATGGATTTAATTGTGTGAGCAAGGCAAGAGTTTCTCCCTGAGGTGGGCCAGGTGATTTGGTGACAATTCCTCCCAAGCAGGGAGTTTCAGGGCAGAACTGCTCAGGGCCGTGTTTGGAGCTTCATGGCTGCACTTTGCTTTGCTCTTCCAGGCTGTGGTGAAGGAGGTGGCCAGTCTGAGCCTGGTGGGCTCTGCCTGTGATGTGGTTTCTGCAGCTTATGCCTCCAGCAAGGAGAGCCACCCCTACGTGAGGTCTGTGTGCGATGCTGCGGAGAAGGGAGCGCAGAGCGTGAGCGAGGCCACGGCCAGCTGCGTGCAGCCAGTGCTGGCCACCCTGGAGCCCCACGGTAAATCCCTGGGGAAGGCCATGGGAGGGACTCTCCAGCTCCTTCCACACCTGGGAGGAGTCCTGGGGTGAGGAAATGCACCTTTCCATTGCCACAGTGAAAGGACAACTCCTGGCTTATAAATGAGGCTACAGCTGGGCCCCAATCCCAGCAGTGAGACGGAGAATCAGACATTGACTGTGATGCTGGCTTTCCTAAAACTGATTTTTGCAAGGTAGAACTTGAGGTGAAATTGCAGAAAACCACATTTTGACACGTTTTTGGTTCTTTCTTCAGTTGCTGCAGTGAGTGAGTATGCTTCCAAGGGTTTGGATAAACTGGGGGAGAAGCTGTCACTCCTTCAAAAGCCAGTGGAGCAGGTAAGAAATAAAGGCTGTGCTGTCCCTGGCAGGCAGAGGGGCCTGGCTCTTGTGGGATTTCTCAGCTAGGGAGTGATGCAGGCTCACACACCTGAGTGTGTGATGTGAGCTCCTAGCAGAGTAAACAACTGACTGTGCTGTTTGTCCTCTTGGTGCAGTTCAGAATTTCAGAACCCACTCCAATATCTACCATTCCTCCTGTTCCCCAGATCCTCTCTGGCACAAAGGAGCTGGTGTCATCCAGCGTGGCTGAGGTGAAGGAGGCTGTGAGCAGCAGAGTGCTGCAGGCCCTGGATGTCAGCAGGGAGGCTCTGCAGAGCAGTGAGGGGGCTGCAGGACCCGCTCTGACCAGCACTGCTGGGCTGGTTCTGGAGCCTGGAGCGGGTGTGTGTGGAGCAGAGGTGATGGGGACAGCACAAGGTGACTCCCTCCCTCTTGGAAATGAGGAGCTAGGTAAGGAAAGGGGGATGTGCCTGTGGAAGTGGGAACTATTGGGGATGGTCAGCCCCATTCATCACCCTGCTACTCTGGAGTGGGCCTAATGGGAAGAGAATCCCAGAATGGTTTGTGGTGGAAGGCACCTTAAAGCTCATTTTGGGTTTCTCACCTTGGGCAGGGACACCTTCCACCAGCCCAGGCTGCTCCAAGCCCCATCCAGCCTGGCCTTGGACACTGTCAGGGATCCAGGGGCAGCCACAGCTGCTCTGGGCACCCTGTGCCAGGGCCCCACTGGGGGGTACCTGGCTGCCAGTCTGGGATCTCCTGGGCCTGTTGCTGTGCCATCTGTGCTCAGGCCCTGTCTCTGTCCCCAGCCCAGCTGGCAGTGTGTGAGGAGGGCACAGAGGCGCTGCCCCTGGAGCAGCAGCGGGAGCAGAGGAGGTACTTTGTGCGCCTGGGCTCTCTCTCGGAGGAACTTCGCCTCCTTGCCCACCTGCATGCCACAGCCAGGATCCAGCAGGTCTGGCAGGGCATGCAGAGGCCCCTGGCACAGCTCCACTGCATCCTCGAGCTGGTAGGTAGAGCCCAGCCCCTGAAAAGATGGGACTAAAGCCCTGGTCTTGTCTCAGCTTCATTGCTGTGCTGAGGAGCTTTGCGGTTCCCCGGCTGATCTGTCTGTCCTGGCACTCTGATCTTCCCCTGCCACAGATTGAGGCGTTTAAGCAAGGATTTAATCAAAAGCTTCAGGAGGGACAGGAGAAACTACACCAGATGTGGCTGGACTGGAGTAGGAAGTATCTCAAAGAGAGTGGAGATGAAAGCTCTGCGGAGCCAGAGGTACCTTCCTGGGGAGGGAGGTAAAGGGCTCTGGGCATCCCCTGCATTTTAACTTTTAAATAACTCATTCCTGATCGTGTCCTTCCTGCCTCCTCCCAGGAGCTGGAGAGTCTGACCCTGCTGATGGCACGCAGGGTCACGCAGCAGCTGCACCTCACCTGCTGCAGGGTGGTGGCAGCCGTGCAGGGCCTTCCCTGCAGCCTGCAGGACAAGCTGAAATGGGCTCCTGCTGCCACCAAGGAGCTGCATGCTGCCTTCTCACTGGCACACTCCTTCCAGGATTTGTCCAGCGGTGTCTTGAGCCAGAGCCAGAGGGAGCTGGCTGTGATCCAGGAGTACATGGAGGAGCTGCTGCATTACCTGAAGAACAACACTCCTCTGTCCTGGCTGGTGGGACCCTTCTCCCCCAGAGAGGAGGAGGAGGAGGATCAATCCTCTCAGGAGAAAGAGGCAGCAGGAGCTGGGCATCTGGAAACCTCCAGCACCCCCATGTGAAGGATAAAACAATATTTGCTGTTGGCATTAAACCCTCAGAAAGTGTAAAGAATTGTCATCCTGAAAGCTGCTTGTACTGGGTCATAACTGCTTAAAATAAAACTGCTGCATACAAAAACCCTGTCTCTGGTCTCTCTTGGACAAAGCCTGGGGGCAGTGGGTGTGAAGTGTGCTCTTCCCACCTCTTCCCTGATGGAATTGCACTGTGGGCTCAGGGATGCAGGAACAGCAGCCGGTGGTACAGGAAGGATCACAGCTGTGAGCCCTGCTGATGTCCTGGGAAGTCTTAATTCCTTCTCTCTCCCCAGAGGTAACTGTGTGCCCTGCTGGCACTGCCCTGTTCTTGGGGGAGCTGTCAGAGCCCTGGCATCCCTTGGCACTGCTCCTCCAAGGCCAAATTCTCCTGCTGTGTTTATCTGCTGCTGCCTGGAGCGGGTTTGTTTGGTGGGATGGAAGGTGTGGGAGCAGCTGCCCAGGGAGGCAGCAGGGTCTGGGTGAAATCCTTGCTGCCCTCTCCCCTCCAGGGTTTCTGGGGAGTTCAGAGCTCTTCCATCTCCCTTTGGAAGAGGCTGGGGAGCCCAATGCCTTCAGCCTGGCCAGGCAATGCTGTGGGTTGGGCTGATGGAGCAGGTGCCTGTGGGACTTTGAGAAGAAAAGCTCTGCTCCTGGCTCTTCATCCTTCTGTCTTTAAGACCAAAAGTGGAATCTGCTCTCATGTGAGTACTGCTTTTTTCCAAAGTTATTATTTTTTATTTAAAGTCTTTTTTTTTTTAACATAATTGAAGTTTTTTATTTAAAAGTTTTTTTTTTATTTAAAGATACCTAAATTTGTTTCATGGCAGGGGTCAGAAAGAGGGACTGGGGATGTTTTTGTGGATGATGAATACAGGCTTGAAGAGCTGGAACTTCCTCCCCTCTCATGTAAGAGTGTCCCCTTTTCCAGCAGCATCCTCATCCTCCAGCCCTGTGTGTGAAGGCTTTGTGCTGAGGCAGCAGTGTGTGGGCTCTGGGGCTGGGCAGCAATTATTCCTTCATGCAGCACAGCCCCCTCATGGAGGGGAGGTTTGGATCCAGATTCCCTGAGCTCAGCATGTACCAAACAAGGGTCTTCCTCTTGTAGCAACCAGTTTGTGTTGAAGGCAAAATCATCAGGCAGTTTCATTTGCCAGGCCAAGGTGTTGCTGAGATGTGAGAGAGAAATTGCAGGGGGCATCCCTGTGAGCTCTCAGCTGCAGAGGGAATTCTCCCTGGAAAAAAGCTCAGCAGTTCTGCCTCCTGTAGCTCCTGCTGAACTTGGGGAGTGGGAATTGGGGATATTGCAGCCAGTCCTGCTGCTTGGTGGGAATAAACTGTGTGTTGTCTTCTTAATAGCAAAGTTGTGTCTTACTTCTAGGAATGCCTGAAATGTAAACTTGCCTGATTATAAAAGTGATTTTTAAAGGAATAGCTGGGTGTTCCTGCACTTGGTATTGATTTGTCAGTTCAGCACATCTGAGCTATGCTAACATAGTGCTTAGCCCAGCAAATCCTGCTGCTCCTGCCCATGGATCAGTGGGATGTGCTCTTGCATGGTCATTAAATCCCTTTACAGAGAATATTCCTGGCTGCCTGTGCCCACAGCTCCTGGGATGCTCTGGGAACTCCAGTCCTGTGTGTGGCCAGAACCTCCCTGTGCTGGAGGGATGAACAGCCCAGGAAAGCTAAAAAAGCCTCAAAAAAGGCTACAGAGACTGTAGCAGAAGAGCTACCATGGGCTGAAATGACCTTCCTGTGGCAGCTCCTAAAGCTCTGCTTGAAAAGAGGAGGCTCCTCAAGCAGAGTTTGAGGATTGGAAGCCTCTCCCTCTTTCACTCTTTAACATCTCAAGATTCAGGGAGACATGGAAACTTCTTACACCAAGCTAGAAGGGAGAAGTCTGAGCAGCTGCACATGGGAATAGTTTGACTTTTTTATTTGAGCTGCTCTCATCCATGCTGCAGAAACAGCAGGGGATAGAGGTGGGGAGAAGCTGGGAATGATGAATGGACTGGCTTCCTGCAGTGTTTAGGGCTGCAGCTCCTCTGAGCTCTGGGAAAGTATCCAGGTTGTTCTTCATTGTCTCCAAGCTTGTCTGATTATCCATGCTTGTTTTGAGTAGTTTTGGATAGAAATGAGAAATGTGTTGGTAATGTGACAACCCTAAGCAAACACCTTGGCAGGGAAGATGTGCCTTGAGGCATCTCCTCTGGCTCTCAGCAGCCCTGGGGATGATGCTGCAGGGCTCCTTGATTCTGGTCATTATTGCCCTGGTGCTTGTGTCTCACCCTCCCCTGCTGCTGCTGTGCCCCTGTGCCAGCTCACCTCTGGGCTGATTTCAACTTTAAATGCACTCACAGGGGGCACTTGCTTCTTCTTCCACTTTTGGTGGGTGCCACCACATCCCTCTGCCGGTTTTCTTAACACTTCAATGATTTCACTCTCACATCCACGTCCTGCTGCTGTTCTTCCTCCCAGCCCTGCTGCTCTCTGCCCCAGTGCCTGACCTGTGGGTCAGAGCCTGAGTGTGCTGCTGCTGCCTCCAGCCCTCCTTGGGCACCGCTCCAGCAGGCTGACACTTTTATCAGTGAAATTAGGAGGCATTAACCAACCTGTCTCCCTGTTTTCCTGCCTGGCAGAGGGAAGGGCTTAAGGAGAGTTTCCCAAGCAGCTTTGTTAAGGCAATAGGTTGGGAAAGTGAAGCTCTCAGCAAGTGCTGGAAGGCAAAAGTTCTGTAGTTGCTTGCAAGGGGCTTCATTTCCCCTTCTCCTTTTCATGTTTCCTGTCACTCTTGGATATTGTCATCCCTTCTCCAGAGCTGTGTTATTGCTAGCTGCAAAATACACCGAGTATATAAAAGGTTTGAGGCCTCCCTGAAGGGCTGCTCGGGGAGCTGAGTGAGGCCCTGCACAGCCAGGAGCTGTCTGGCTCCAGCTTCTCTGTCACCCTGAGTTCTTGGGATTGGGAAAATTCAAGATGCTCAGAGCTCACAGGAATTCATTTGGAATGGGATGGGTTGAAGTGGCTGTGGCTGGTCAGTGTGGGAGCAAAATCAGATTGTGGTGGCTGATGTGGGCAGGCAGGAGCTCTGTTCTGCTGCTTTGCACTTGGCTCTGTGCTTTCCTTGTGTCCCCTCTCCTACTGCAGCTTCCCTTGTATTAGAGCAAGCCAAGTGTTCCAGCTGTAATAAATGGAATTGATTCATGCTAACTAAATTGTAATTATTTGGAAAGTTATTATTAGAAGCAACCAAAAGAATCAGTGTTACAAAGCAGATGTACCCTTTTACAGATGTTACATGTTAAAATCGAGGTACAGGATGTAGTTTGGAAGATAAGTGATGTCCCAAGTTGAAAACAACCTTGAGATGGACAAAATTGGAACAACTTTAAGCATAGGGCTGAAAATTATTAAATATAAGATTAATTAGTAGATTTACATAACACAACACTTAGTACACATGCCAAAATACCCCAAAAGAAGACTGAAGACCCCCTAACAACAAGTGAGGCATGGGCCGTGAAGAAAAGTGATGCAAAGTCAGAAAAATCAGAAACAGGAGGAAACTTACAGGTAACATTAATGAATATGTATAAACACACAGTATATAAGTTTAGCTTGAAGTGCTTTGGTGAGGTGGGGTGAGAAGCCCTCCCTGTACCCTGATCAGTTTTGCTTATGCTTTAATCACACTTAATTACTGGCAAATTATATCTATAAATTGTAGCTTTTATTCAATTGTATTCTTTTACTAAATTGTATTCTTTTATACTAAGTCACTATTCAATTCACTAAATTTTATTCATTTATAACTAAACTGCTGTTAACTCAAAGGACCAGTTGTCAAAATTCTAAGTTCATTTATAACACAGGGCAGGGGAGAGAGCCCTGGAGGGATTTCCCTGCTCTCTGTGCCAGCCTGCAGTGGCCAGGTGAGATCAGTGTGGGTTTGGGAGCCCCAGAGGACACAGATCCTGGCAGTGCCATCACTTTGGGTGCCCTGCTCTCCCATTGAAGCATTCCAATGCTTTTCCAGCCAGAATCTCTGCTGCTGGCAGCATTCAGCTCTTGCCCTATTCAGGTGCTTGTGGCAGGTCCTGGCAGGACTTTGGGCTGGACTTGGAGCATTTCTTTGCTTTCTGTCCCTCTGTGCCCTGTGGGGGGTCAATAAATCCACTTCAGACTGCTTTACAAACCGAGTGTCAGCTTGTGACAGCTCCAAACGATCTTTGCAGGGCTTGTTACAGCCCCTGATGCCTCCAGCACTGACAGGCTGCTGCCCTGATCGATGCTGGGCTGCCCTTTGCTGCAGAAACAGGGCCCAGCTCCTCCTGGGGGATACACAGCACAGCCAGGGAGTCACTGCCCTGCTGTGCTGCCTCTGGAGCTGCCCCTGTGGAAAGGAAAATCCATTTGCAGGAGCAGTTCATCTGCTGGACTTCCTCTGATTCCTGTGTTTGTTTAGATCCAGCAGTGGCATTGGAGGGGAGGTGATCCAGAGGGTGACTGGATGCTGACAGGGCTGGAGTTTGTGCCATTCTCTGTATGGATTTCACTTTTAATTCATGTTTTTGCTCCATAGTGACAGGAGTTTCGTGCAGGAGGAGCAGATTCCTGCCTGGCTCCCCCCAGGTGCCCTGGGAGGCAGGGTGGCATGGGGGCTGTTAAAGGAAATTATCTGGGAAAGGAACAGCTGGGAAGGCTGGGGAGGAGGTTGGGACTAAGGCTGGGGTGAGCTGGAGTGGGAAAAGGAGACCTGGAGGAGGAGACAGCAGGAGGGCTGGGGACAGCTGGGGAGCAGGTGAGAGGGAAAACCAGTGGAAAATCCTCCAGGATGGATTGGGAATAAAGGTGAGGATTCAGTGAGTCTGGAGGAGGAGGAGTGAACTCAGTATCTGGAGGATGGGAGCAGGGAATTCGGGACTGGGATGGGGCTCAGCTAGAGCAGGGTGCAGAGAGCAGGAGAGGAAACAGATGGAAGCTGGAAATTCCTTTTTTACAGTTATTTTAAGGGCACTGAGTGTGTGTCTTATCAAGTTGATTCACTGGGTGTCTCAGTGCAAGGCAAAACGCCATCTCTGCCCCTTGGCAAGGGAGTGTTGGAGAAACATTGATTCCCCTGCAAGAGGAACCCCAAAGTATTTACACTGCATGGACCATCCTGCAGGGCACTGTCCTCACACACCTTGGCTCTGCAGGATGTTTCTGTGAGGAAACACATCCTGAGAAATGCCAACTTCAGTGGCCTTTTTCCCAGCAGAGAAATCCAACATTTTGGGTTTGTGCCTGCTGTCCTCCCTAAAAACCTGCTCTGCTTCAATTTTGGATGAACACCTGGCTGGCAGATCCAGGCACCTCTCCCCTCCCTGCTCCATCTCTCCCGTGGGATGGGGATTGCAGCTGGGAGCTGAAGGTCACTTGAAATGCCATTTTCATTTAGCTGCCTCGATGGGGTAATTACAGCTGGAAATGTAAGGTTTGCTAAACAAATTACAACCCAAATGCAGTGTTTACCTTGTGAGAGATGGATTGGGAACACCTGTGCCAGTTTGTGGAATAGAAAAAAGCAGTTTTAGGGGTTTGGAGTCCTTTTGCTTGTGATGTCTCCTGTTGGCTGTGTCTTGTGTCCCATCCCACTGATCCCCAGCAGGTCAGGGTGTGATACTTAGTTTGTTGTGGCTGTTTTGGGGACCCTCATTCT